CCATCCCCACCCCTCGGACTCACTCTGTGGCGCCTCCCCCACTTGATCCGTCTGCAAGACCGTGCCAGGGACCAGATTCAGTGAGCTGCAGGCGCCTTACTAGCACTGCTCTCACATACCGCACTGCATCCATCCCCACCCCGCAGACTCACCCTGTGGCACCTGCCCCACTGGAGCCACCTGCAAGACCGCGCCTGCATTTTCCAACAATTCGGTGCAGGTGCCTTACTGCGAGTGCCCTGATGGCTACGGGATGACTCCCACCGACTGTGTTGCGGGTAAGTCTCTTTGATTTTATGAAAACCACAAACTATATCCAACTAGCTACGATTCGGTGCAGGTGCCTTACTGCGAGTGCCCTGATGGCTATGGGATGACCGCCACCAAATGTGTCCCGGGTGAGCTTGCTCAATGCATGCTCCCCCTGCTCTCTGCTCTCTGCTCTCTGCTCTCTGCTCTCTGCTCTCTCTCGCTCTGCTCTCTGCTCTCTGTGCTCTACTCCCACTCGCTCTGCTCTCCGGTCGCCCTGATGGCTTCGGGATGACCGCCACCGAATGTGTCCCGGGTGAGCTTATCCCGCACCCACTCTCTCCTCTCTCCATTCGCCCCATTCTCCCTTCCTCACTCGTCACAATCGTCCCTCCTCACTCGCCCCACTCTCATCTCTCCACGTGCCGCACTCCCTCCTCCCCAGTCGTCACCCTCTGTCCTCCCTGCACTTGCCCCACTCACCCCTTCCTTTTGCCCTTCTTTCGCAGGAGGAAGCACCACAGTCAGTTCCTTCAGCGTCACACTCATCGATAACCCAGCAGCCAAGGACAATACCTCTCGGCCGTACACACTCCGCCTGAATCCGACTGGCTGCACCCAGTACCCACCTGCAGTGGCTGGGAAGGCCACGTTATTCTATGCTGTTGTCAACATCGGTAGCACTCTGAATTGCCCGGGCTACTACGCTTACAATACAGGCAACTGTGAATGGGGAGCGGCTCGTGCGACTATCAGACAAGTTGCACCGCTTCATGCATATGCCGTGGCGTAAGTGATTGATTTGTCTTTCTCCATCATTATCTTGCCTGCACTGTCTTCCCACTTCCCTTTCTACTTCACTGCTCCAATCATCACGGCAGAATTCCTAAGTAATCCTTCCCTCTTTGTCATCCCCTTGTTTGTACCATTCACTAGTGGCCCTTACCCCACACGCTCTGTGAAGTGTTATTAGTGGGCTGCCTTTAATCCGACCGGATTCTCGCTTCCACAAACACCCCAGCTTAGAACCAAGGGAGATGCCGTTCCCTGGTTTTGCTTGCTGTGTTGTGTCACCTACACTCAAGAAAGTATGTGAATAATGTATGTGCAATAATCTTGTCCCGATTGCATGACGCATACTTGCCATTGTGTTTGTCTATGAAGAAGCACATATTTGATTTAAGATCATTCTCAAGACTATAGATGTAACTAGTGTTGTGAGGTGTGCTGCTTCCAATATTTCATAAGGATGGCATTTTCTACAGGCTGGGCTATAGCAACTCTTAGTGAAACCTAATAAAAAGTACAGTTACAACTGTTGGTACTGACACACACAAACCCAAATAAAAATCCCTAATGAAACGGGGACAGGGGAATTCCATGACAGGACTGGAGCACGCATTTTAAAGCTCAAGGCCCAAATTGTTCAACCTTATTAAAGCCCGCGTCCCAAATTGCGGGCCGCGCGCGTCAAGCTTTTAAAACTTGACGAAGTGCAGTGGGCAACCTTTGAAAAGTACCGCACTTGCAATTTGGGACTTTCAGGGACAGACCCAACCCCCAGGGCGAAATTTGAGGGAGTGCTGGGTTTGGCGAGATTAACGAAAAAAACGAAATCGGGAGTCACTCGCCTAAACCCAGACCAGAAAAACCCCACGCGTCAACTTTTAAAACCGGGGTGCACATTCAGCTGAATGTGCATCAAAGGTTATCCCTTGACTGAGTGGGTTACGAGGTGTGCTTTCAACCCTTTCAAGTCGAAATTCGTTTCCCCCCTCCCCCGCAATTTCGTTTCCCCATGCCCCCGCAATTTCATTTCCCCCTCCCCGTCGAAATTCGTTTCCCCCCTCCCCCGCAATTTTGTTTCCCCCCTCCCCCGCAATTTCGATTCCCCCCCCTCCCGCCAATCTGTTTCATCCCTCCCGCCATTCGGTTTCACCCACTCCCGCCATTTCACCCCCTCCCGCCACCTACGAAATGCCCGAAGCTCTAGCGGAATCATTTTTTTGTCGCCCCTCGTGAGCCAATCACTGTTTTTCTCCAAACCCCCTTCCCAACATCTCAAGCCGAACCGCGTTGAATGTGCACCCTGGTTTTAAAAGCTTGTGCAATTTGGGCCGCCGGCTTTAAGCTTGCCCTTGGGGTATCGAGAGAGGAACGTTGACTTTTTTGATGTTGGGCTCGTCAGTTTCGCCCAGCTTCGCGCTAGGTTTTCGCTGACTCAACAAACCCCAGGGCAACTCGGTTTGGTTGTCGAAGTCCCAAATTGCACTCACAATATTCTTGGTGTTTCATTCTCTCCCATTGGACAAAAAAACTGCTAGCCAATCACACAGCATCGCACTTCTCGTAACCACAATTCGCAACCAAACAACCCCCAGAACACCACTCTGATCAACTTTAGTAAGCTTGCCCCGCGCGCTCTGCAATTTGGGCCTTGAGCTTTAAGTTACGTGCAACTGACCCTCAGCTGAGTGAATGCAACTCACTACCCGTCTATTAGCCCCCCAATATAGAAGCACCCCACCAGAGTCCAATGTTGTATTTAGTATAACTGTATAAGCAACGAATCCACACTAGACCCCCCTAAGTGTAAACACTTCAATATAGTCACAACCAAAGCTCCAAAAACTTCAACTTCAGCTGGCGAATTGACCAAGCGCTTGTCGCGCGCCCTTCATAAGAAATACACCCCCTACTTTTTAACCGGGGTAGGATTACATCCCTGGTGGGTAAAGACTGAAACACTTCACAGAGCGGGTATATCCAGGGTACTGCATGTTCCTGGTAAACGGTGCACACGAGGAAAGGGGACGGCAAAGAAAAGAGGACGCAGAAATGCTGCATCTGACAACTGGAGCAGAAAGGAAGCAAGAAGGTAGTGCAGTGCATTCATGATGATGATGATAATGGAGAGCGATCCGACGACATTTGAGACGTCTCAAAAGAAGGTAGTGCAGTGCAGGCATGATGATGATGGAAACAGACCCATAGCGCAGGCATGATGGTGATGATGATGATGGTAATGGAGAGCGATCAGTCGGCCACTTACATCTCAACCTTTGTATCCAGCCGTTTCTCGAGAGAAAACAACTGAGAATCAGGGTTCCCTTGGCAGTTGTCCGTACTGAATTCCTGGTATTTGTAGCAATACCCATTGGACTTGACACTGTATACGGTATATTTTGTAGTGTACTTCCCAGCCACTGCAGCTGGGAACTGCGTGCAACCGTCCGTGTTATAGCGGAGGGTGTAGGGCCGAGAGGTATTGTCCTTGGCGGATCGATTCACGATGAATGTGTAGCTGTTGCCACCAACTGTGTCCTTTCCTCCTGAAAAAGAGCGGGAAACAGAAGGGCCCGGTAAAACGTTTGCTTCCATCTTATTTGATGGTATTGATCTAGCCATATTGCATTCTTCTGCCCACACAGCCATGGTATTAGAGAGGTTGTCAAGAGAGGGAGCATGCATTGACCAAGCTCACATTGGGTACAAATGGTGGCGGTCTAGGGCGAGTGAGGAGTGCGTAGGGCGAGTGAGAGGAGAGTAGGGCGAGTGAGGAGAGAGTAAGGCGAGTGACGAGAGAGTAGGGCGATTGACGAGAGAGTAGGGCGAGTGAGGAGAGAATAAGGCGAGTGAGGAGAGAGTAGGGCTAGTGAGGAGACTGTAGGGCGAGTGGGGAGAGATTAGGGCGAGTGAGGAGAGAGTAGGGCGAGTGAGGAGAGAGTAAGGCGAGTGAGGAGAGAGTAGGGCGAGTGGGGAGAGAGTGGGGCGAGTGAGGAGAGAGTAGGGCGAGTGAGGAGAGAGTAGGGCGAGTGAGGAGAGAGTAGGGCGAGTGAGGAGAGAGTAGGGCGAGTGAGAAGAGAGTAGGGCGAGTGAGGAGAGAGTAGGGCGAGTGAGGAGAGAGTAGGACGAGTGAGGAGAGAGTAGGGCGAGTGATGAGAGATTAGGGCGAGTGAGGAGAGAGTGGGGCGAGTGAGGAGAGTATAGGGCGAGTGGGGAGAGGAGAGAGTGGAGACTCACCCTGGACACATTCAGTGGCGGTCATCCCGTAGCCTGCAGGGCACTCGCAGTAAGGCACCTGGATTGGAATGCTGCCCTTTGATTGCACGGCCTTGCAGGTTGCTCCAGTGGGACAGCTGCCACACGGTGAGTCTGAAAAGGGGGGTGGAGATGGGTGCAGTGCGGTACATCAGTGCAATGGTAGTGGGGGCAGTAAGGCACTTGTATAGGAGTGCTGGTCCTTGCCGGACCAGTGGGACAGGTGCCACAGGGTGAGTCTGAGAGGTTGGGATGGGTGCAGTGCGGTATGTGAGTGCAAGGACGCGCGAATGCACATGCAATGCAAGTGCGCATGCGTCTTGAGGTGCGAGTGTACGTGTTGATGGGAGCGCGGGAAAGAAAGAAGAGAAGAGAGAAAAAAAAGCTCACCCCACTGGCAGAAGCGCTCTCCGTTTTGGTCCTTCACACAGGTGCCATCCGGCTCACAGCCCAACGTGATAAAAGAAGAGTTTAGAGACATCTCAAATCACTCACCCCACTGGCAGTAGCGCTCTCCGTTCTGGTCCTTAACACAGGTGCCATCCGGCTCACAGCGCAACGTGATAAAAGAAGAGTTTTGAGACATCTCAAATCACTCACCCCACTGGCAGTAGCGCTCTCCGTTCTGGTCCTTAACACAGGTGCCATCCGGCTCACAGCGCAACGCGTCACACGCACGGTCAACTGCACCACAGGCGAACAAGGGGCAACTAAGAAAGATATGGGAATGCCACCACAAAGGTGCCATCCGGCTCACACCCCAACGCCGCACAGGCAGGATCATCTGCAGAGGCGAAAAGAAAGGGGCAACAAACGAACATATACCCTTCCCTCTAGGAGAATAGACCTCACAGGCAGGACCTTCAGCATCACGAAGACAAGAGGGCGTTGTAACTTGTATCAAAGTTGCATAAAAAGACATCAGAGTAAAAAGGGACAGCAAGGGACGCACCAGTGTCGCAGAGCACAGACAACACCGAAGCCCACTTGCTGACCGCCTTTCCGCTGCTCGGGAACCTGAAGGGCGTTGCAAGTGGAAGCAAAAGATAGAACCGAACATGCTCAGTATACACTGCTTTTTATCGCTCCCATTCCCTGAGAAGCGCTGCAAGTGGAAGCATAAGATATATCACAGCGTGTTAAGAAAACACTTTAATATGCCCCCTCCCCTTCCCTCCCCACTGAAACTAACAAGGATGCATCTCCTGCGCGGGTTAACTATGCTCCCAAATGACTTTCGAGGCGCCTCCCTCAACAACCCTGCCCTCCCCTCCGCACTCCAACTCACGGGGATGTATCGCCAGCAGTGCGCGGGTTCTCCAGGCCATCCAGCGCCGTGCCTTGGCAGCCACCTGTTGAGTTGAGACGCCTCTCAAGTTACCACCCGCCACTCACATGCCACCGTTACCACAGAACATTCCAACTCACGGGGATGTGTCGCCAGCAGTGCGCGGGTTGACCGCGCTGTCCAGCGCCGTGCCTTTGCAGCCAGCCTTCTTGAAGAACTTGACCTGCGCGCACTGCACGCCCTTCGCTGTGCTGCCCGCCGTGCTGCCCGCCGTGCTGCCCGAGGCTGCGGAGGAGCTGGATGAGGGATCACTGCCCTTCCACCACACGGTCACGTTGCTCCGCATGGCCTTCTTCGCCACGCTCACGCAGCGCTGCGACCTGAAGCTCAGCCGCGTCACTCCCACCTCCACCTCCGTCGCAACCTGCGCGCTGGCGCTGCCGCTGGTGGTGCTGCCGGCGGCGGTGCTGCCGCTGGTGGAGGCAGCGAGAATGCTACGGTGTGCCGTGCGGTAAGTCATGATTTTCACCGTGTCGCCGCCATGCTCTGCCGTAATAATCTGAACTGCTGCGGAGGACAAGGGAGACGCTGTGCGGAGAAAACAGAGAAAGCAGGAGTTTGGAATAGAGATGATAATACAATAGAGGTGGAAAACAGAAGGGAGCAGGAAAGGGGGAGCGGCGAGAAAGGCATGTGATGATCTGAGAGACTCCACAAGGCAAGGGCTGACCATAAGCAAAAAACAGTTGCAGAAAAATGAAAGAAATTGCAAGAGCGAAGAAGACTGACCACAGATCAGGGCAAGGGCGAGGAGAAGGATTGCGGCAGGGGAGACGCGCATTGTCATCATGATGATGAAGGCGGGATTTCGCGGGAGAGGCGGCGGAAGAGGCGGAACAGACGAGAGCTTGTGCTGTGACGAGCGGTGCACGCCGGTGTGGTAGAGTCACGCGGAGTGTGATGGTACGGCTTAGAGTGCGGAGTGTAGGAAAGGTAGGTAGAATGAGTGGATAGACTGGCAGGGGACTGTGCTGTAATTTATGTTGCGAGTTGCGATTATGGAGCAAGCGTACTAGCCTCCGTGCCATGGCGAATACTACGGGTGCAATCCGTGCTTAGCTCGAGTCAATCGCTGGAAACGATAATAGTGTGAACGTTAGGAACGCGGTATGTGCTAGCGTGAATTGCGGGGACGAGCCCGTTTGAGTCTAGGAACGCGGTATGTGCTAAGCTCGCGTGAATCGCGGGGACGAGCGAGTTTGAATCTAGGAACACGATACGAGCGACGGGTCGCTTGAAACTGACGAATGGACTAGCGTTCGCTAGCCAATAGCTCAACGCAGAGGCTTCCAGCAAGGACTATTCCGTTTGTGGCTTCCAATCAGGTTCAGGCGCATTATATCGACCTGCATTATGCGACTGATCAGGCTCGTCGGCCTGGATAGGAAGGTTAGGAAGGAACGCGAATGGTGGCAAATCTCTCTGAATGGTGGCTCATCCGTTTCAGTGCTCCGTGTGAGACGCTGACGCCTACAGCTAGACCAGATCTCAAGGCAGTATCCAAAAACACCGCGTGGTGAGGGTTTGGTAAGGATTCAAGGGGTTCATTGGGGAGGGATGGGGGATCGCGAAGAAGTTTTGTTTCGCCACATTCCGTCTCTGAGAAAATAGCTGTGCGATAAACTAATACCACACAGAATTTTGGACGACATGGGTACGTCCCGTACATGGCGAACCAGAAGTAACAGACTCTCATCGAGAGGAGTGTCGCAAATCTCAATTGGACCGCGACTGATTTGCAAAATACCACCACACCACCATCCCCGCACATGAACGCGATCGCGTCCCTCGGAAAAAAAATCGATGGAGATCGTGACCGTCCACGTATGTCAAACACCTCGAGATTCTCCTTCCCGCCTTTTCCCCACAGACTCATCTGCTCAGCCACCCACACAATTTCTTCATGAATTCATAACACGGCTTCATGGTCTATCTCAAGTCTGAATCTGAACGCGTTTCGCCAACATCCAGCAGTCGAACAGATTCTTCCTATCCTATCCTATTCTGTGCGACGAACCTTAGAGTCGCATACTGCTGCTGGTCGCTAGTATAATGCAGCTGCTGGTTCCTGATACTCGTCTTGTATCATTCCCAATGCTGAACCGGATTGAAAGCCACAAACGGAGGCCTCGCTGGAAGCTTCTCCGTTTCGCCATTGGTTCGCGAGCGGTAGTCCATTTCGTCCGCTTCAAGCGACCCGTCGCTTGAATCGCGTTCCTAGATTAAGGTTAGCGAGTCATCCCCGCGACTCACGCGAGCTAAGCACATACCGCGTTCCTAACATTTGCATTATTATCGTTTCAAGCTCGGAGCTAAGCACCGATTGAGCTCCTAGGATTCGCCATGGCGCGGCGCCTATCACGCTTGGCTCATGGTTTAAATTCGCAACATAAATTACACATTCCGAAGCAAGCCTGCCATTATTCCATCTCTGTGATTCTGCTACCATTCGCCATCTGGTTCTGTCCTTGCATTGAACTATCATCGAGCGTAGGACTAGCTTTTGAGTCGACTAAAAAGTCACTTTATTCCATCTCTGTAAATCTACTACCATTCGCCTTCCGGTTCGTTCCTGCACTGTACTATCCTCGTGTAGGACTATTACCCCTCATTCTACCCACCTTACCTACACTCTTCGCTCTACACCGTACCATCACACTCCGTGTGACTCTACACCGGAGTGAATCGCACGTCAAAGCTCAAACTCCCGTCTGTTGCGCCTCTTCCGCCGCGTCACCCGCCGCTGCCTCTTCCTCCGCCTCTTCCGTCACCACTCCCTCGGGAAACCCGCCGTCATCATTATGAGGTCGATGCGCGCCTCTCCTGCCGGCCTCCTGCTGCTCGCCCTTGCCCTCATCGCCGGTCGGTCCCCTTCTCTCTATTTCCCTTGTATCTCATTTCTGCAGTGTCACCCATCTGCAGTTCCTTCCTCTCATTGCCTTATCTCTCATGTCTGCAGTACCTTTGACACGCCTCTCTCATATCTCCTCTCTGCTCTCATTTCTCCTCTCTGCCCTCTCATTTCTCCTCTCTGCCCTCTCATTTCTCCTCTCTGCCCTCTCATTTCTCCTCTCTGCCCTCTCATTTCTCCTCTCTGCCCTCTCATACCTCCTCTCTGCCCTCTCATATCTCCTCTCTGCCCTTCCATACCTCCTCTCTCTCTTCTCTTCTCCGCACTTGCTCTCCCTTGTCCCCTGCAGCTGCTCAGTTGATGACGGCAGCATATGGGGATGACACGGTGAAAAGCATGACTCACCGCGTGGCCCACCGTAGCATGCTGAAAGACTCGTATGGAGCAGGAAAAGAGAAGGATGCACAAGACACGTTGACGGAAACAGCGAGCAGCAAGGTCTCCGCGAGGGTTGTACTAGAGACCACCACCAGCAGCACCACCGGCAGCACCGCCCCCCCCGCTGACGGCGGCGGCAGCCTAGCTGACGGCATTCCTAGCCCCACTCGCAGCAAGGTCACCGCGAGGGTTTTTGAGACGTCTCAAGAGGCGAGGGTTGTACTAGAGACTACCACCAGCAGCACTACCGGCGCCCCTGCTGACGGCGGCGGCAGCCTAGCTGACGGCATTCCTAGCCCCACCCGCAGCACCCTCGACTTGGGTTCCCCGCTGCAGTTCGCCACAACCGTGGCTGTCGGCAAGGCTCGGCTGAGCTTCGGCAGCCAGCGCTGCGTGAACGTGTCGAAGAAGGCTCGGGGGAAGGGCGCGCAGGTATGGTGGAAGGGGGCTAACAGCAAGGCGAAAGGCTTTTCCTGCTCGCAGATCAAGTTCTTTGGACAGGGTGGCTGCCAGGGCACGGAGCTTGATAGCATGGTCAACCCGGGGACTGCTACTGCGGCCAAGTAAGTGCCAGACTGGTGGGCTATGTGGGTGGTAGAAGGGGTCTGGCAGCAAAGTTTTGAGTCGACTCAAAACTAGAGCGTGCAGGTGTGGTGGAAGGGGTGTAGCAGCAAGGCATGTGATTTCGCCTGCTTGCAGGTCAAGTTCTTTGACCAGGGTGGCTGTCAGGGCGCGGAGCTTGATAGCCGTGTGCATGTGAGGCACGACGAGAGAACACGAGCAGTAGATGACTGGAAAGGAGGGGAGGGGCAGGGAGGGGAGGGGAGGGAAAGGGAAGAGAGGGGCAGGATGGGAGGGGAGGGGGAGGGCGGGCAAGCGAGGGAGCACAATAAGCATGTTATCGTCTCTTGTGCACGTTTGAGGCGCCTCAAGAACCATCTCTTGTGCTTCCATTCCACTTGCCACGCCCTTCAGGTTCCCCAGCAACAAGAAGGCGCTCAGCAATTGGGCCTCCGTGGCCTCTGTCCTCTGCACAGATGCTCCGTGCGACGCGTAGACGCGATTTTTTAGGCGCCGCAGAATTCATCACTTGTGCTTCCATTCCACTTGCCCTTCAGGTTCCCAAGCAACAAGAAGACCCTCAGCCAATGGGCCTCTGTGGCCTCTATCCTCTGCACCGATGCTCCCTGTGACGCGTTGGGCTGTGAGCCGGGTGGCACCTGTGTGGTGGATGAAACCGGAGAGCGCTACTGCCAGTGGGGTGAGTTCCCAGGTGCCTTACTTAAAATTATCCTCCTTGTCGTTTGTCTTGTGCGTTGATGCGTTGATGCTCCCTGTGACGTGTTGGTTGGGCTGTGGGCCGGGTGGCACCTGTGTGGTCGATGAGAATGGCGAGCGTTACTGCCAGTGGGGTGAGTTCTCAGGCGCCTTAAAAGTATATTCCTTCGCGTCTGTCTTGTGCGTTGATGCTCCCTGTGACGCGTTGGGCTGTGGTGAGTGAGCACGCAATTCCCGCTTTGTGTTGACTCGTAACACCTGTGTGGTGGAGTGGATCAAAATGGCGAGCGTTACTGCCAGTGGGGTGAGTGAGCATGCCAGTCGGCTCAAAAGTCACTGCGACTTGGCTTCCATGGCCCCTCTCTGCCCTGCTTCCCCCTCTGCCTTGCTTCCCCCTCTGGAATACCGATCCCCCACTAACATTGCACTCCATACCGCACTGCACCCATCCCCACCCCTCAAACTCACCCTGTGGCGCCTGCTTCACTGGAGCCACCTGCAAGACCGTGCCTGCGACTAACAAAACAAGGATCGGGTGTAGTTGCCTTCCTGCTTCTAAGGTGCCTCACAAATCATACCGCACTGCACCCATTCCCACCCCACCCACCCTCAGACTCACCCTGTGGCGCCTGCCCCACTGGAGCCACCTGCAAGACGGTGCCTGCGACTAACAACGGCTGGGTGCGGGTGCCTTACTGCGCATGTCCTTCGGGCTATGGCATGACCCCCACGGGGTGTGTTGATGGTGAGCCTCTTTCCACTCCCCACCGCCTCTCCGCACTTTCCCCACTCTCCATTCTCAACACTCGTCCCTCGCACCCCACTCCCTCCACTTCTCTCCACTCTACCCTCTAGCCCCACTCCCTCCACTCTCCTCTTCCCCCCCTCTCCTCTCCCTCTCTCTCCCCATTCTCTCCTCTCCCCCTCTCTCCCCACTCTCTCCGCTTTTCACTCTCTTCTCACTCTCTTCTCACTCTCTCCTCTCCCCCACTCGCCCCAATCTTTGCTCCACCGTTCTCGCTCTGCTAGTTGGCTGAACGGTTCAATGCAGTATGAGTGTGTGAATGTATGTACGGACATAGGGAATGAATGAAAGGCATAGACAAACAGTTTGATAAGTCCTTCTTTGTGCCTCTCTTTCTCAGGTGAAGTTTCCACCGTTGCTTCTTACAGCGCCACTTACATCGTTCCAACCGCTCCCCTCTCGCCCCACTCCCTTCACTCAATGCTTTTTTTTTTGTGCCGCTCTTTCTCAGGTGAAGTGGCCACTGTTGCTTCTTACAGCGCCACATACATCGTCAATCGAACCGCCAACGACTACACTTCCCGACCCTACACCTTCCGCCTCAACCGAAACGGCTGCACTCAATACCCAGATGCAGTGGCGGGAAAATTCACGTCAGTGTATATTGTTGATAACATCGACGATGCGCCGTGGTGCCCAAAATTCCAAGTCTTCTCAACCGATAACTGTGAAGGCCCTAGCGATTACGAAGACAAAGGCTCAGTCGAGGAGATGTTTCTAGCAGGATATTCACTGTGAGTGATCGATCGTTTTCCACCCTCACGCTTGCACAGCTTTTCCCCTTCCGTTTCCGCACCTTGCATCAAGAACAATGAGTTCTGAGTCTTCTTATCCTCTTGCATGGAAGATGATACCCTCTGACTCATCCTATCCTCTTTGCTATCCCCTTTTTACCATTGACCAGGGATATGTCACCTATGCCTTGTCGCTCTGCATTGTGCTCTGAATAGGGTGGCAAGGATGGCAGGCAGCACATTGCAAAGGGTTGTAACTTGTCACCTCTTATCAACTTGCCCTAGGGATGTATTGCGTGAGAAGCAGGCCCTGAGAAGTCAGAAATTCTACTATGATTTTCCTGAATTTCAGGGTGGTTTTATATATTGTGAGGTGTTTGTAAAGCTACGTGTTGTGATGAGACGTTTGCTGAGCTGAATGTGCTAGGTAATGTTACAGAATTGAAATGTACTTTCTATTGTATTTGATTGAAATTTTGTTCAGTAGTGGTTTAGAGAGGGAAGGATTGCCACAGCACAATCAAGTATTTCACCAATTTAAAGCCAGGATCTCAAGTAGTTCAATTGTTTTGCAGTTGGTGAGGGGAGCTGGGCTGCGATTGGTTAGCGAGGTGAACAATCTGACGAGGTGTGAAGCGAGGGGTGCGAAGTAAAGACGAATCGCAAGTTCAGTCCGAACCAAGCAAGGCTCGGAAACTGGTTCGGTGACGAAGCTCCAATGCCTGCAATTTCTCGTCACACACAACAATCTCATGTACCAGCAAAATGTTTTGCATTTGCTCTAGGGGCAAAATCGTGGGTGTGCCGCACGCTCACTTTCCTAACCAGCCAGTCAATTCGCCTACAAAAATAGGGTAACAAGCGCTGCAAGTGTTTTGCAATTGAAGGCCAATTCTCTTACTTGAGATCCTGGCTTTAAAACCACTAGCGCTGTTGAAACAACTTCTACATTGGAGCAAATGGTGTGGCACTGTAGTAGGTACATCCAATTATTGAAGGTGAAGCCGTTCTGAACGGACTGTACCGTGGTGTTTCGGGAACACGGCCTTGAAGTAAGTGCAATAGAAACATGCCAGGGCAAATTTCACTGGTTCGACCGTGTCACTCGCTCAAGCAGACAGTTCTCCAACAGACAAGCTATCACTGTTCCTTCTACGCGGATCTATTCCTTTCCGCTTTCTCTTGGCGACAACAGTACTCACGTTTTCTCTCAGCGACCAATAATGCAGACAAGCGACTGATTTTGCTTTCTCTCTGCGACCAACAGATGAGTCGCACAGTCATATATTTGGAATGCAGTCTTGTGAGAGTCGCGCACAGTCGCACAAACCCACCCCTGAACCTGATTAGAAGCGGCCATTTTCAGGTGCATGCAACTTAGCCGAGGCGCGCTAATCAGGTGCATGCTATCCCGTCGTTTTTCTCCCTCGGTTGTCACTGTTTGTACACATCCGCCACTAAAAACACTGTTCTGTCAGGGGATGCAACCCACGCAACACAAGCAGCACACGCAACACACGCAACACACAAAATCGGCCTGGCAGGGAAGCCCGGAAAAGAAAAATACAACTCCTAGAAAACCTGGACATTGTTCGGGATGGGTCAACCCTAAACACGGGAACGTCTTGGTGTTTAGGGTTGATGTCCCTTAAGGCAGTGGGACAAAAAAATCTAGGGAACCTGGACTCATTTTTCGGAAGGGATCAACCCTAAACACGGGAACTGCCCTCGTGTTTAGGGTTGATTCCTCCCGAGTTGCATCCGTTTCCAATTGGGTTTTATATTGTCTTACCCGTTTTTGTCAGGTGTGTTGCGATTTGTATTGACCTTGTTCGCAGTAATTTTTGTGCGACTGGTGTGGTTGGACGACGAATTCGTGCGAGAGCTGCGCAGTTACTGTCAGTCGGATTGTAGCATCCCCTGACAGAACAGTAATTTTCGTGGCGGAGGTGTACATACAGTGCGGCGAAAGGTTTCTCCTGCTCGCAGATCAAGTTCTTTGGGAAGGGCGGCTGCCAGGGCACGGAGCTTGATAGCATGGTCAATCCAGGAACAACTACTGCAGCCAAGTAAGTGACGGGTGGGCCATGTAAATGGTGGGTGGGCGTGGGCTCTACTGCTCGCAGATCAAGTTCTTTGAGAAGGGCGGCTGCCAGGGCACGGAGCTTGATAGCATGGTCAACCTGAGCAATACTGGGGCCAAGTGAGTGGGGGTGGGTGGGTGTGTGTCAGTGTGTGTGTGAGGCACGACGTGAAGACACGAGCAGCGAATGAATCTGGGAGGGGGGGGAGGGGCAGGGAGGGGAGGGAAGGGGGGTGGAGGGGAAGCGAGGGAACACAATAAGAATCGTACTGTCTCTTGTGCTTCCACTTGCCACGCCCTCAGGTTCCCAAGCAACAAGAAGACGCTCCGCAAGTGGGCTTCAGTGGCCTCTGTTCTCTGCATCGATGCTCCCTGTGAGGCGTTGGGACGATTTTTGAGGCGCCTCAGAGGCCGTTTCCTGTGCTTCCATTCCCCTTGCCACGCCCTTCAGGTTCCCCAGCAACAAGAAGGCGCTCCGCAAGTGGGCTTCAGTGGCCTCTGTTCTCTGCACCGATGCTCCCTGTGACGCATTGGGCTGTGAGCCTGGCGGCACCTGTGTGTTGGATCAAAACGGCGAGCGCTACTGCAAGTGGGGTGAGTGAGCATGCCTTTCCCACACCTTTCCACTCTCAACTCAGCCCACCCATTCGTCTACCAAATCAACCCCGTGCCATCCAACCAACCCCATTCTTCATGCTTTTGCACATATCGACCCCTCCACTTAGTGCCGACTTTTCAATCTCACGTTCCCACGCCATGAGAGTGCGAGTGCATGATGCTTGCCTTCCTGCCAGCCAGCCTATCTCCTTACCCTCTCGCTTCTTGAGGCGCCTCAAAAACAGCCTACACTCCTTTCCCTCTCGCTTCTCTGGAACCCCACTGCTCCACCAGCATTCCTGCAGACCCTAAACCTTAGATTCTCATTTCTGGGTTCCCAAACAGCTCGTTTCAGCTCGTTTCAGCTCGTTTCTTTGGAGCCGCCTTCCTCCACTAGCATTTTCCTGACCTACCGCACTCGCACTTGCTTGCTTCTCCCTCTCCCTTGCGTCTCCCTTTGCTTTTTACCTTCCTCAACCCCACCCTGTGCCGCATGCCGCTCTGGTGCCCCAATTCTTCACTACATACCGCACTGCACCCATCCCCACCCCTCAGACTCGCCCTGTGGCGCCTGCCCCACTGGAGCAACCTGCAAAACCGTGCCTGGGACTTTCCAGCCTTCGGTGCAGGTGCCTTACTGCGCGTGCCCTCAAGGCTCTGGGATGACTGACACCGAGTGTGTTGAGGGTGAGAATGTTTGACGTTCACTCGCTCTTCTCTCCACCCTCTCCTCTTCGCGTCATTCCCACTCTCCTCTCTCAACAATACTTGCCCCACTCCCGTCTCGCCCCACTCCCTCCCCTCCCGTCTCGCCCCACTCCCTCCCCTCCCCTCTCGCCCCACTCCCTCCTCTCCCCTCTCGCCCCACTCCCTCCCCTCCCCTCTCGCCCCACCCTCTCCTCTCCCCCACACGCCCCACTCTTTGTTTCACTTTTCTCGCCCTTCCATGTCAGGTGAACGGATGATGCTGCCCTAAGTTGTGGGAATGTGGCAATGCATGTATGAATGTATGATGTGGGAAGGCATGAAAGGTGCAGACAAACACTACACTGAGTCCTTCCCTCTGCCACGCTTTCCTTGTGCCAACGTTTCTCAGGTGTTGCTTTCAACGTCTCTTGCCTCAGCGTCACATTTATCGCAAACCGAACAGCCAAGGATGCGGCGTCTCGACCCCTCACCTTCCGCCTCAACCTGAATGGCTGCACTCAGTTCCCGACTGCAGTGGCTGGGAAGGTCGAGACAATGTATGAAGTTAGCATCACCAATGATGCTCCAAGTTGCTCCAGCTTCAAAGGCTACTTGGCCGACAACTGTGAAGGCGATAGTGCTTACGAAAAACCCGTCGAAACCCCTCCCTCGTTTTTTGCAGCTTATGCAGCGTAAGTGATTTACCGTATACTTTCCTGCACAACTTTTTCACTTCCCTTTTTGCTCCAATCATTCAAGATAACATATTCTTAGTCACCTAGTTATTCTTGCCCTCCCATTGTTACCATTAACCAGGGACATGTCACCTGCGTGGGCTATCCGCTCAATGTGGTGCACTCAGTAGGATGATTAGGAGGATGGATGGATGGCTGGACTGAGCTCTCAATTTGCACACTCTTCTGACTTGGATCGGAGGGCTTCTCCTCTCCCCTCCACTTGAGCCATCAAACCCTTTTCCCCTTTTCACGCAATGGAGACCCGTCTTCCCTATACTCAATGGAGGTCTACTGAGTGTTCCAGTGTATGTAGAGCCAAAAGCAGAAAGTTCCAGTGGAGGCCTGGTGTAAAACGTTCTTTCTTGCCAACAACTGCGCCTGTCCTATGGTTGTTGTCTTGCTTGGAAAATCGTTTGTAGAGCTGTCTGTCTGTATAATGTGTTGTGTATGAGTCGTTGAAAATAACTACCGTGTTCTTCTTCACTGGATTTGATTGTAACATGTTTCAAAAGTGGTCCTGAGAGTGAGGGCATGTTCCTACGTTCTTATTGGCAAATCTCTTGTCAGCCTTGCCTGGTAAAAGTAGCGAGTGTTTTGGGTTTAGGGAATTTTCAGTGTGTTTTTATGCAAGCTTGATAAGAGGTTGGCCTGATAAGGGGGCGTAGGAACATGCCCTGAGGCACAGCCTTGGCACAACAATCACGTAGATCACAATGTTTTTTTAATTAAATGCCCAGTAATACTGTAGCTTCATATGCACACGCATCAATGAACTCAAGATTTCTGTTGCGGTGGACACTGGCCATCCATTCTAGACAAGATTACGACAACCACATTCGAAACTACTACTACCGTAATCCCCCGGATATAAGACCCCCCCAAAATAAAACACCCCCGGGTAGCTAATACGGGGGGGAGTGTTTATTTAGCAAGAATTTCGTTATACCCCCCTTTTGGGGGGTAAACAATATTAGACCCCCCCCCCCCTTCCTTGTAGGGGGGTTCTCAGTGAAGATCTCATTGCCTTGTTAAATTTCATTACACATTCAAATAACAATTTCAACAAGAGCAGCCCCTAACACATGTTAGAACTAGCATGGGTGCAATTCATGTCATGTCTAGAGCACCTACAGGGCCAGAAGCATGATTTCTAGCTCTAATCATCACCAGCATTCCACATTTCAACCTCCTCCCCCTCATAGCGGCCTGGAGCCCACCACTCCTCGTCGTCTGCATCACTCCACTCCTCACCACCGCGGGCACCAGGGGCTCCCTCTTCGTCGCCAGCTGCGTCGTCCAGAGCTGCGGCCTCAGCCTCATCTTCCTCATCAGTCTCGCAAGTTTCAGCCCGCAGCTCCTGCTGCGTCTTATCCTGGGGGTTGAGGCGTGCTGCGACCTCTTCGGGGTCGTCGTAGAAGGGGTTAGGCAGAGTCTCGTCCTCCACCTCCTCCTGCACGTCCTCCAGGACATCAATCTCTGACTTGTCACGGAGGTGTGCAAGAATGAGGTGGTCTTCCGAAGCGTCTAGCGCGGAGGAGATCCCGCACGTCAGGAATGACTTCCTGACGAGCTCCTCCGGCACCGCCAGCCACGCTTCCATGATCCACCGCAGGATGAGCTCTGCAGGTGGCTTCTTGAGATTCCCTGCAGTTTAAGAAGGGGAAAGAGAAGGGAAGAGAAGAGTTAGACAACCATGAATCAACACGACCGTGAAGCACAATTCCTGGAAACTCACCCGCCCGCGTTCGGTGGTTTACGCCCTCCTCTTCGAACCAGGTGGCGTAGCGGTGACGCACCCCCGCCTTGAAACTGCGATTAATCGCCACGTCAATGTCAAACAATATATGCATGTTTAGGTTATCTAGGCTGTATGGGGGTTAGCACTAGGGGGTACAATATTTTTCTCGACATTCTTCTTGTACCCCCCCTTTTGACCTAATGACACATCACTTCCTAGTATTCTAACATGGTATTAAGAGCTAGGACGGTCCTAGCCTAGGACCGTAATTAAGGGCCCACCACATTCGTTTTCACCTGCCCGACCGTTAGTTTCTGCCCTGCCCAGCGTTTCGCGCTGCCCTGCCCTTTTCTGCCGTGCGCAGCCTGTACAATCCGCGTAGGCCCGAGCACAGCCCGTACAGCCCGCGCCAAGCCGTCGCGCAGCCCGTACAGCCCACGCCAGGCCCGCGCGCAGCCAGTACAGCCCGCGTAGGCCCGTCGCGAAGCCCGTACAGCCCGCGTAGGCCCGTCGCGAAGCCCGTACAGCCCGCGCCAGGCCGTCGCGCAGCCCGTACAGCCCACGTCAGGCCCGCACGCAGCCCGTACAGCCCGCGCCAGGCCCGCACGCAGCTCGTACAGCCCGCGCCAGGCCCGCACGCAGCTCGTACAGCCCGCGCCAGGCCCGCACGCAGCCCTTACAGCCCATGCCTGGCCCTCACGCGGCCCGTGTTACTGCTGCACTCACGCTGCTGCTTCGCTGCTGCGCCTGAACTGCTGCTGCAGTGCTGCTGCCGCGCACTGCCCTGTACCAGCTACGCCGCCCCTGGAGCAGCCGCCCCTGGACCCAGAGCAACCGCCCCTGGCCCCTGAAGCAGCCGCCCCTGGTGCAGCCGCCCCTGGACCCTCGAGCAGCCGCCCCTGGACCCAGAGCAGCCGCCCCTGGCCCCTGAAGCAGCCGCCCCTGGAGCAGCCGCCCCTGGACCCAGAGCAGCCGCCCCTGGCCCCTGAAGCAGCCGCCCCTGGTGCAGCCGCCCCTGGCCCCTGCAGCAGCCGCCCCTGGTGCAGCCGCCCCTGGACCCTCGAGCAGCCGCCCCTGGACCCAGAGCAGCCGCCCCCGGCCCCTGAAGCAGCCGCCCCTAGTGCAGCCGCCCCTGGACCCTCGAGCAGCCGCCCCTGGACACAGAGCAGCCGCCCCCGGCCCCTGAATCAGCCGCCCCTGGTGCAGCTGCCCCTGGACCCTCGAGCAGCCGCCCCTGGACCCAGAGCAGCCGCCCCTGGCCCCTGAAGCAGCCGCCCCTGGTGCAGCCGCCCCTGGACTCCGTGCAGCCGCCCCTGGACCCCGCGACGCCGCCCCTGGACCCGCGTCGCCACCCCTCGCCCGTCGAGCGCCTGCTCTTCCCGCCACTGGTGAGCACCTGCCTTGTTAGCGCGCTGCCGCGCCATCTGCCTGCTTGCCTGCCTGCCAGCCTGCCTGCCTGCCTGCCTGCCTGTCTGCCTGCCTGCCTGCCTGCCTGCCTGCCGCGCCTGCCCTGCCCGCGCTGCTACTGCTGCTACTTCTGTTACTACTGCTAGGCTACTGCTACTGCTACTGCTGCTACTGGCGGTGGCCAGATGCAGCTCCAGCGACGTCCACGCGAGTCTCTCCCGCCCCAGCAGCTTCGTGAGTGGTACGCTAGTTGGGGTTGTGGCGGTAGCCGTCGTAGCTGTCGCCCTGGAGCTGGTCAGTTGGGAGCGTCTGGCAGTAGCCAGCTGCAGCTGCAGCGGCGTCCACGCGAGACACTTACGTCCCAGCAGCTTCACGAGTGGTACGCTCAGAGTAGAGGGTCTTTGAGTACCGTTCGCTGCCCGTACGTCATTCGCACAGGTGATCGGGCTGGTCAGGCTTGCGGGACGCTTGGTCACACACAGTCCCGCTGCTTCGCGTGTCTGAGCGACGCCTGGCGTACCGAGTTTGGCGACGAGGCTGAGCTCCCCACCTGGCTGGAGCTGCTTAGGCAGAGGGTAGATATTTTTGCTCTTGACTATGATGCTATTCTCACTGCCATGTATGCATTGCCTACTAGTGCTGACGGTGCCTGTTACCTGTGTGTACCGCCTGACCCAGGTATAGAGCCTGCTGCTCTAGGTGCTGGTGAGGCTGCTGCCCTAGGTGCTGGTGAGGCTGCTGCTCCAGGTTCTGGTGAGTCTGCTCTCTCAGGTACTGCGCCTGCTGAGGCCTTGTACACCTTCACACTTGACTCAGGTGCTTCCCTCTCCTTCTTTCGCGACAGCACCACCCTCACGCCGCTCCGTCGGCCGGTTGCAGTCTCCCTGGCAGACCCCTCTGGGGGTCCAGTCCTTGCGCACTCCTCCACGGTCCTGCCATGTCCGGCGGTCCCGTCTGGCTTCCTGTCAGGTCTTCACCTCCCCTCGTTCTCTACGAACTTGGTGGGTGGTGCTGACCTCCAGGACCAGTGGGTTGACCAGTTCACCCCTGGAGGTCAGCGAGTGACCCACTGTACGTGCTCCCGGACTGGTCGGCACCTGGCCACGTTCACCCGAGCGCCTGGCTCGAGTCTGTACACACTGACTACTGTGTCCCCTCAGGTAGCTGCGTCTGCGTTTGCGTCAGGTCAGCTAGCGGCCCCCTGCTTGTGTCGCGCTTTGTCGCACCAGACCCTCCTTTGGCACCACCGCCTTGGTCACCCCTCGGTGCAGCGCCTTCGTAGCATGCACCGCCGTTTCCTTGTTTCTGGACTTCCAGAGACTCTGCCTCCTCTACCACCCTCGCCTGCTCCTCCCTGTCTTCCCTGTGTCGAGGGGCGGCAGCGCGCCGCTCCTCACTCCTCCTCGTTCCCTCCCACAGAGGCTCCCCTGCAGACTCTCCACCTGGACGTGTGGGGCCCAGCCCGCGTCCGTGGACAGGGCCACGAGCGGTACTTCCTGCTGGTCGTCGACGACTACACGCGTTACACCACGGTCTTCCCCTTGCGCAGCAAGGGGGAGGTCCCGGATGTTTTGATCCCCTGGATCCGCGCTGTTCGTCTCCAGCTCTGCGAGCGGTTCCAGTCGGACTTTCCTGTCCTGCGTCTGCACTCTGACAGAGGTGGTGAGTTCTCCTCAGACCTCTTGGCAGCCTACTGTGCGGAGCACGGCATCCGCCAGACGTTCACGCTTCCGGCCTCTCCGCAGCAAAATGGGGTTGCTGAGCGCCGCATTGGCTTAGTCATGGAGGTCACTCGTACCTCCATGATCCATGCGGCTGCCCCCCATTTTCTGTGGCCGTTTGCGGTCCGGTACGCCGCGCATCAGCTCAACCTCTGGCCCCGTGTCTCCTTGCCGGAGACCTCGCCCACACTGCTGTGGACGGGAAAGGTTGGCGATGCGTCGCGTTTCCGGATCTGGGGTGCTCGTGCCTTTGTCCGCGATACCACCGCGGACAAGCTCTCCGCCCGCGCTGTTCCCTGTGTCTTCCTTGGCTTTGTCCCTGACGCGCCTGGTTGGCAGTTTTACCACCCCACCTCGCGCCGTGTCTTCCCCTCTCAGGACGTCACGTTCGACGAGTCGGTTCCCTTTTACCGTCTCTTCCCCTACCGCACTGCCCCTCTCCCCCCCCAGCCGCTCTTCCTCGCTCCAGGTGCTCCCCAGGTAGACCCCCTCCCCGCTCCCGGTCCTGCTCCTTCAGGTGTGTCTCAGGTAGACCCTCCTCCCTTGACTGCGCCGGTTGAGGTCACTGGTGACTCGGGTCCTGCTGAGGGTGGTCCTGCTCGGGGTGCTGCTTCTGGGGGTGCTGAGCCTGGGGGTGCGGAGCCTGGGGGTGCTGAGCCTGGGGGTGCTGAGCCTGGGGGTGCGGAGCCTGGAGGTGCGGAGCCTGGGGGTGCGGAGACTGGAGGTGCTGAGCCTAGGTGTGAGGAGTCTGGGGGTGCTGAGGCTGGGGGCGCTGAGGCGTCTGGTGAGCAGTCTCCCTGGAGCGGCCGTCTCCGTAGTCGCTCCGCTGGTGCCTCGCCGCTGCACTCTCGTCGTCGACTCCCTCTCTCCCCACAGCAGCTGCTTGAGTGGTACGCTGGCCATCAGGGTCGCGCTGCTGGAGCTAGGGGCCCTGCTGCGGGAGGCGCTGGAGGTGGTGACTCTGCCACTGGAGTTGTTTCTGCTGGAGGTTCTGGAGCTGCTGAGGGTGCTGGAGCTGGAGGTTCTGGAGCTGCTGGAGGTGCTGGCACTGGTGGCACTGGAGCTGGAGGTTCTGGAGCTGCTGAGGGTGCTGGCGCTGGAGGTTCTGGAGCTGCTGGAGGTACTGGCGCTGGTGGCGCTGGAGCTGGAGGTTCTGGAGCTGCTGAGGGTGCTGGCGCTGGAGGTTCTGGAGCTGCTGCGGGTGCTGGCGCTGAGGGTTCTGAGTCTGCTGTTGCGCGGTTTCCTTGGAGTAGCCGCCTTCGTCCGCGTGTGCCTCTCACCTCGCAGCACCTTGGCGTCAGGGTCGCGCTTCTGGAACTCGGGGCTCTACCGCTGGAGGTACTTCTGCTGACGTCACTGGAGCTGAGAGTGGTGCTGGTCCCGGAGGTGCTCGTACTGGAGGTACTGGAGCTGCTGGGGCTGGAGGTGCTGAGCCTGAGGGTGCTGCTGCTGGAGGCACTGAGGCTGGAGACCCTGGGACTGGAGGTGCCGGTTCTGGGGGTGGTGCTGTTGGTGGA